ACAAAGTTAGATTACAAGTTACTTTATTAGTTACTTTCAGGAGCGGCTGATCCCCCACCTTTTGAGGCTATTTGTATTTCCAGCTGCAAAAGTCGTACCTCTCTCCCTCCGTTGTTTACATCTGACTCGTGGTGGAGTGGAGACGACGTAACATCATAGGAAATGTGTCACCAAAAAAGATTTATATGATCTTTGGGGTCACATAACCCACGTCGCCAAAAAATAAAAATAAATAAATAACCTACGTCGCCCTGAAACGCAAGAATAGTAACACACAATGTATTAGATAAGTAAGTTAAATCGGACTACTGGTTTGGAAATAGCACTGCGTTAGACGACTTGTTACTGAAAAAAGTAGTCGGACTACAGTACCACGTTACTAAGTAGCGTGTTAGTGGCATCACTGTCTGTTACAAACATTTCACATAAAACTATGACCAAAGAGCTTTAGGCTGAAGTGAAATCAGTTCTGAATGCCTGACCCTGATTACAAATGATGATACCAATACGGCTGTCAGCAAACAACAGCAACTTGGATAGAACACAGAAAAACATATATCTACGATAATAATAATAACAGTACTCATGAGTCAATACAGCGGTTCTTTTGAGTGAACTCTATTCCACTTCCGACACCTGCAAAGAAAATTACTATTTTCTTCAAAATCATCATCAACATTTATCCTTTACCTGCATCTGTAGCCTACATTATCTAGATTATTACCGTATTATTCAGACTATAAGGTGCACTTAATGCCTATCGGACTCTGGTCAGATTCGATCACTGCTCTGTAGAACACGGGCCGGACTCAGACAAAAAAATTCGGCCCGATCCACACTCTAGCCTGGGCTGAGTTACTGTGAATGAGTTGAATAAAGTTTGACTTATCTGACTGTTTTGTACTTCTTAATGCGCTTTATAATCTGGTGCACCTTATGTATGAGAATAGGTGAGAGAATTCGACATTACTGACATTACGCCTTATAATTAGGTGCACCTTATAGTCCTAAAAATAAGGTATCTTACTGTCTCTCTATGTAGTAAAAATATGTCTTTAAATCATTCTAGCGCTCTGTATTTGCTTATGGAATTATATTTGTAATTCTATAACAACCCCAATGTTAACCAGGGTCAAAACTTGACTACACTATACAAGTTATGACTGGACAAATAAAAATATATGACAACATCTTTATTTTGTTAAATGAATTTTTAAACAATCAGGAAAATGCCTGTTTGCTCGTAAATTGTTCTTGCATTTTAGATGGTATTTTCCCATGTTGATGACATAGGAGCAATTCAGGACTACTTACTATATTTTCTTCCTGAACATGTGAGACAGGCCTCTGCTCTGACTGTTTAAATCCAGCCTCAAAACGCTTCTGCTTAGCTGCATATGACTGAAAGGTTTTCATTCTGCACTCTTCTCTCTCTTTTAATTTTAATTTTATGATGATTATGTTTTGATTTGTTTGCATTGTGATTTTTATGTATTTCTTATTCTGTAAAGCACTTTTATGTGGTTCTCAACTGGAAAAAGGTGGCTTGCCCTCTCCGGGTAGGTGGAGAGTCCCTGCCTCAAGTGGAGGAGTTCAAGTATCTCGGGGTCTTGTTCACGAGTGAGGGAAGGACGGAACGTGAGATTGACAGGCGGATCGGTGCAACTTCAGCAGTGATGCGGTCGCTGTATCGGACAGTTGTGGTGAAGCGGGAGCTGAGTCGAAAGGCGAAGCTCTCAATTTACCGGTCAGTCTTCGTTCCTACTCTCACCTATGGTCATGAGCTCTGGGTAGTGACCGAAAGGACGAGATCGATGATACAAGCACTCGAAATGAGTTTCCTCCGCATGGTGGCTGGGCGCTCCCTTAGAGATAGGGTGAGGAGCTCAGTCACACAGGAGGAGCTCGGAGTAGAGCCACTGCTTCTCCACGTCGAGAGGAGCCAGTTGAGGTGGCTCGGGCATTTGTTCCGGATGCCTCTTGGGCGCCTCCCTCGGGAGGTGTTCAGGGCATGTCCCACCGGGAGGAGGCCCCAGGGAAGACCCAGGACACGCTGGAGGGACTATGTCTCTCGGCTGGCCTGGGAACGCCTTGGGGTCCCCCTGGAGGAGCTGGAGGACGTGTCTGGGGTGAATGAAGTCTGGGAGTCCCGGCCCCAGATGAGCGGAAGAAAATGGATGCATGGATGGATGGACGGACTTTTATGTATGAAACTGTGCAGTACAAATAAACTTGCCTTACCTGTTTTTGTACTTTTCTTCTCATTTTATTCCCCGACAAAATATCTAAACTCTATGACAAATATTTCCAACCAGATGAAGTAATAATTACATAAAACATGAAAACCTGTCAACTGGACTTTAATTTGCGTTCATTCTAAAGGCCCCCCATTATGCTAAGTGACTTTTAAAGGAGATGTGGTGATGTTACTGCGCTTTGCCTTGAATGCTGCACAGTATGGCTTCTATCTCCATGAGGACAAGCAGGAAAATTACAGGTCACATCAGTGGAGAGGTGAGTCCAATCACAATAACAGTGCATGTTTTTCAAGGTAATGTTATTAGCACGAAAGACCTCTGTAGCTGAAAAACTGTTAAACATTCCAGGCAAAATAATAAGTAGTAGCTGTCCCTCAACCTGAAAAGTCTATAACCTTTATTCAGTGCAAAAGTTTATAAAAGTAGGAAGGCTGTATATGAATAATGCATAATATAGGACTTTTAAAATGAATTTGAGCTGTTGGATTGAACGTTGTCACAGAAATGTTTCATAATTAGAGAGAATAGTGTCCTTTTTGCTCACATAATAGCCATTTAGATGATAACTTTGATTAAAGGGTTTGTGAACAACATAGTAAAATGTCGATTTGCATAAACAGTCATTAAAATGCACAGAAGAAAGTTGTAATTTGTGTGTTAACCGGTAAAGTAAAAGTAGATCAATTTCAGATTATCAAGGCACTTGATAGGGCGCACTCTTAAGCCTCCAACCGCATCCAAAAACGACTGCGCGTCCCCAATCCACAGCACCCTATACACGAATCCACTCGGGTGTCCCAGTAAACTACAAATCCGCAGCACCCGCAGCGCACGCAAACACGCACGGAGCAGACAGTGACCGCACAGCGAAAAACACCCACAGACACACTCATCACTCCACGCCGACGAGGAACAGAACGGAGGAACTAACCAAAAAAGCGAGTGCAATGTGCCACTTCTAGACACAACTGAACAACTGAGTCACTGTGAACACGCCAACAATCCAGCGGTCCCAGACAGCACCCTCCCTACACGCCACAACTGAACAAAGCCCAGAGTCACCGTGAACGCCACAAACAAACAAAACCACTCACCCATCACACTGTTGTGTTTCCTTTAAAGTCTGGTGTTGTGTTTGTGAAAAAAAGTTTGAAAATAGACCATTCCATGATAGTGCGCCTTATAATCCAGAGTGCCCTATAGTGTGGAAAATACGGTAACCTTTGTTCGGTGCCAAAGTTTATAAAAGTAGGAAGGCTGTATATGAATAATGCATAATATAGGACTTTTAAAATGAATTTGAGCTGTTGGATTGAATGTTGTCAAAGAAATGTTCCATAATTAGAGAGAATAGTGTTCTTTTTGCTCACATAATAGCCACTGGGTCTTTGATTAACGAGTTTGTGAACAACATGGTAAAACATCGCTTTGCATAAACAGTAATTAAAATGCACAGAAGAAAGTCACAATTTGTGTGTTAACCGGTAAAGTAAAAGTAGATCAATTTCAGATTATCAAGGCACTTTCCAATCAAATTACCATATTTTCCGGGCTATAGGGCGCACTCTTACGCCTCTAACCTCATCAAAAAACAACTGCGAGCCCCGCAATCCAGCCAAACACACCCTCATCACTCCACGCAGACGAGGAACGGAACAGAGGAAGGAACTGAAAAAGCGAGTGCAATGTGCCACTTCTAGACACAACTGAACAACTGAGTCACTGTGAACGCCACAAACAAACAAAACCACTCACCCATCACACTGTTGTGTATTTCGTTTAAAGTCCGGTGCGGTTTATTTGTGAAAAACTTTGAAAATAGACCATTCAATGACCAGTGTGCTTTACAATCCAGAGCGCCCTATAGTGCAGAAAATATGGTAACCTTTATTCAGTGCAAAAGTTTATAAAAGTATATGAATAATGCATAATATAGGACTTTTTTAATAAATTTGAGCTGTTGAATTGAATGTTGTCAAAGAAATGTTCCATAATTAGAGAGAATAGTGTCCTTTTTGCTCACACAATAGCCACTGGGTCTAATTTAGATGATAACTTTGATTAACGGGTTTGTGAACAACATGGTAAAACATCGCTTTGCATAAACAGTCATTAAAATGCACAGAAGATAGTTGCAATTTGTGTGTTAACCGGTAAAGTAAAAGTAGATCAATTTCAGATTATCAAGGCACTTTCCAATCATGTTAATTGCTAATATGTGCACTGTGTCACCATGGTAACTTAACATTCCACCATCCACATACATGCAAGTGGTAGAATGTGATCTCACTGCAATCTGCGAAAAACATACAGACTTGAGATAAGAACGTTTTATCAAGATCTGAGTAAATTTCACTTGTCAAGTAAAATGATCTACCAATGGAAAAAGTGTGTTTTTCTTAATTCAAGCAACATTAGATTTTGTTTCTTATTTTAAGTCATAGCAAGATGTATTTCCATATTTAAAGTACAAAAAGTCTTGTTCCACTGGCAGATCATTTTACTTACTTAAATTTATTCAGATCTTGATAAAACTTTCTTATCTCAAGTCTGTTTGTTTTTCGCAGATTGCAGTGAGATCAAATTGAATCTACTCCAATAAATCATTTTAATTTAACTAGATATTGTTTTTTCCCACTGCAAAGTCCTCTGTATGAAATTGTGACATCTTCAAACTCTAGACAGTGAATGCAACCGAAGTGTGAAGAGAGAAAGTGCACCGCGGCGTCTTCTGTGTCCTACCTGATGATGACGATGATGCTGTCAAAGCCGTTGTAAGGGTTCTTGATGTATCCGAAGAGGCCCAGAGCCAGGAGCTTGAGCAGCATCTCCAGACTGAAGAGACTGGTGAACACCATGTTACTGATTTCCAGCACGTCCGTCAGCTCCTGTGGCTGGATCATACAACAGGACACATGCAGATGGACATTAGCATTAAGTAGGACTGTGAAAACATTATGACGGTATTATATATAAACTTACTAAAACAAGACAATTACAGATGGATATATTGCACTTCTAACCTCTGAACCATTAGCCTGATTCATCAGCCAGTTTCACTTTGTAGAAACTGTCTGACCTCGCAGTGTTAGAATTTGTTTGCTCGATGGTAGGTGGGTGCTTTTTTCTATTTAACCAATCGCTGCTATTTGGTCGTGATGTATGTAATGCTCCGCTAACGGGGTTAACTGGTATATTAAACTTTTCCCAAATCCCGTAGGAAGAAGGGCAATAATGTCTTTCCCCTTGATAAAATTCACCAAACATTCTCTTTATTCCAGCTTTAAATCCTCGATCTCGGGAATCGTTGACAACACTGAATATATGACTCTTGGCTGATTGGTTGGTGCCCGAACTTGCACTTCTGGGGTTTTTGCGAACCGTCTATTGTATTTTGAGTCCTCACCTAGTTGCTAGAGAAAAATGAAATTGAGCGGAGGCACTAGGTGGCGCCAATATGGCTACTGAACCATGGCCTTTAAGAAACAAAAATATATTACCGTATTTTTTTGCACTTAAAATCCTTTAATTTTCAAAAAAATTTACACTGCTCCTTATAATCCGGGGCCTTATGTATAATTCTGGTTGTGCTTACTGACCTCAATCCACACTGTTGTGTTTTGTTTAAAGTCCGGTGCGGTTTATTTGTGAAAAAAGTTCGAAAATAGACCATTTAATGTGCACCTTATAATCCAGAGCGACTAATAGCCCAGTAAATACGGTAGTTGTTTTCAGTGAGTCGTTTGGAGCTCGTGGGTGCGGAGTCTCGTGTGCGTATTGAAGAAGTGAGTAGCGGTTTAAAGAAAGGCACACATATACGGGTGAGGAGAAAATTCAGTTTGTCGAATGGACAAAAGTTAGTTTGGTTGAAGATGTTTCGCAGCTCATCCAAGCTGCTTCTTCAGTTCTGGTCAGATGCTGGTGGACACTTCCTTATATCTGTAGGGAGGAGCTAACTACACTGAAACTAACAAACACACTTGTTTACAGTTTCTGTTTGTTAGTTTCTGTTTGTTAGTTTCTTACAGTTTCTGTTTGTTGTTAACAAATAGAAACTGTAAACAAGTAGGTGTGTTACTTTCAGTGTAGTTAGCTCCTCCCTGCAGATATAAGGAAGTGTGCACCAGTGTCTGACCAGAACTGAAGAAGCAGCTTGGATGAGCTGCGAAACGTCTTCAACCAAACTAACTTTTGTCCAGTCGACAAACTGAATTTTCTCCTCATGGATTCTACCTGGACGACTGAGAGATTCTTCACACACATATACATCAACCTGTTTACAGAGTGTTTTGAAGTTCTTATCAGCAGATGATTATAGAAAATGTGTGTTCAAGAGCCAATTACATGTTTCAAAGAAATGCTAAGTGCTAGATGCTAAGTGCTAGCTAGTGGCCCGCTATTATTATGAAGCTATTACCTCTTGTGTTTGTTTATCTACTTTATACAGTATATTATAATTTATATTTTTTCCTTCTGTTTATTTGTTTCAGGACCACACACATACACACACCCACACAAGTTCAACGTTTTTAATAAAAATCATAAAACACAACACTTATAAGCCACGCAACTAGTTTTCCCCATAACAGAATGGAATGAGTCAAATAAAATTAGCCTGTGCCACAATAGCAAAAATAAAAAACATTTATCCTGTTGTATCTAGGGCTCAATCGATATATCAGTTGGCCAATATTATCAGCTGATTTGGGCACTCGGAGACATATCGGCTATCAGCCTAAATTTGGTCGATATGGTCCACGCGGACAGGTTATACAATGTTTTAAAGCTTAGACTCTCTATATTATGGCCATTTAATCTAATTTACAGACAGATAAATGTCCTAATATGTGGCGCCGCATTAATATTGATCTGTATCTGTGTCTGTGATTGAGGCGCTGCTTTAAATGCTCCTGTGTCTGATCTAAGATATTAACTATAAATAAAAATGAAAAATGAACTTCAGCGCCGTTTAGGCTAGCAACAAAACTACGGCTTGTTTTTTAGTTGTTTTGTTTTTTTTTTGTTTAGTTATTTTATTTTTTTTTTATTTTAAGTTTTTTTTTTTTGTTTTATTTTGTTTGTTTTTTTAGTTTTCTTAGTTTTTTTTTTTTTTTTTTTTTTTTTAAAGTTTTTTTTTAAAGTTTTTTTAAATAGTTTTTTTAGTTTTGTTTTTTAGTTTTTTTTTTTTTATTTTTTTTAGTTTTGTTTTTTTTGTTTTTTAATTTAGCCTAAATAAACCTGATTTAAATTCCAATAGAGTAAAATCTATGTTTTAAAATCAGTTAAAGATTTGCAGTGATTTTTTACATTATTAAACTTAATGGCTGTTATATCGACAGCTCCAAAGCCCATTTTATCGGTATCATATCGGATCCAATAAAATCCATATCGGTCTGGCCCGAGTTGTACCCTTGGGCAAGACACCTCACTGACCCTGACATATGCGTGTTAGAGTGTGTGCGAGAATGGCAGGCGTCTCTCTGCCAGTCAGCCTGAGGGCGGCTGCGGCTAAATTAGTAGGTTGCCCCTGCCAACGATGGTAAGTGAATGAATAATGAGATACTGAAAAGCACTTTGCGAGGCTTGTCAAGTTGTAGCGCAATGTAAACCCAAGCCATTAATTTTGTTATGACATTTCTACAATAGGAACAGTAAGCACAGCCCTATCGTCAGCAACACTGCGTACAATCTGAGGAGGGGAGTGCCTTTACAACTTTTTGTATTGAGATTGCACTGTTTATGCTATTTTTGTATTTCTGTATTAAAGTTTTGCCTATGGCTACGTTCACACTGTAGCCTGAAGTGACCCAAATCAGATTTTTTGGCCCCTATGTGACCTGTATCTGATCTATTAATGACAGTCTGAATGACACAGATCCGATTTTTTCAAATGTGACCCAGGCCACTTGGATATGTGCTCCTAAATCCGGCCAGGTCGCATCTATCCCACCTACACGTCACAAATGTACCCAAAGGTTCTTCTCGTCATATGAAAATTGTGTCTGAACTCTGTGTCAGTGAAGCAGCGAAGCACAGAACAATCCCACCACTCTTGGCTACAACTCTGCACCCACATGTTCCTTTCTACGGGCATTGATGCCACTGCCCCACAAAACACCAAAAACACCAAAAACCTCATCCTTCACTTTCTCAATCTCCTCCTTAAAACAAATAGTCTGTACATGTTCTGGCTCCGGTACGACAGCAGCTTTAAAATCTCCAGGTGCTCAAAGCTCGTGTCCATGTTTAGGCGACTTCCCTAAACACTAAGCACACTCACTGTATTGACGCCGTGGTGTTCTTCAATGCACATGCGGGACACTTTTGGGGCGTTTAAAGTTCACACTGGAGATCACATACAAGTCTCATTTAATCAGAAATGTGAACGACCTCTGTGTCTCTGGGACTGCAGATGGAAATTGTCTCCGAGAGCTATAGTCCTGTACCAAGCGTCTCCTCAGTGTTTCTTTGATTAATCAGGGTATCCCCAGGTTTGACTAGCCCTTTTTAAGGCCTTTTTAAGACCACTTAAATGAAAATTAAGACCAACATCACACCCATTATGCGGGCAAAAAACACCAGATCCAATTCTAACAATGACCAGCCATCTACTAAATCTAGAATCTAAGAGCCACTGTGGATTAAACCTACACTTCCCCGTGATCCATCCAACGTCTTCCTCCAATCTACTGATCGTTTACCCATATGGAAAAGGTACAGACAAATCATACACCATAGATTTGTATATGACAGTGAAAACAGTTACAAGATCTTTGGTAAATATGTGCAGCATGAAACATATAAAACTTTGTAAACTGCGAGGGCTGAATATGACACTAATCCCACACACAATGTCCTCACAAGTGTTGGACAAATGTCATTTTCACCACAGAATCAGAGAAAAATAAGTGAAATGATGATTATTTCTTTAAACTCGATTGCTGTGTTGTGTGTGTGTGAGAGTGAGAAAGAAAATGAACTGTGCGTGTGTGTGTGTGTGCGTGCGTGTTTGTGAATGAGTGTGCGTGTGTGTGTGTGTGCATGTGCATGTGTGTGTGTTGGGCAGCATCGGGGTAAACACAATAATGCAACTATTGCATTACAGTCTTAAAAACATAAGACATACGACTCTTCCACTGATATCACAGTGAACATACAGGCTGTGAAAAGACTTTTACTCTGCAAAATCCTGCAGCCTCTTGCCTGTGGGATACCAAGGAACTTGTAATTGTCCTCAATATCTGCTATAGTTTCTTTACAAATAAAAGCTGGTTAGCTCACTTGATAAATCACAGGGCTTTCACTTGGGCAACCTGGGTTCAAATCCCCCTTCTGACTTAGCTTTTTTTTAACTGCAACATATAATTAAAGAATACAAACATTACATGGAACATACAAAGAAAATGTAGTTTATCATGTACATTACCTGTAAATGTCATGCAAAATGTTCACTTTATCTTTACTAGTTTTTCATAATATAGTTGTATGAGAAAAATGCAAAAGGGGGCGACTTTCAGGAGTAAACCACACATGACACATATTAAACTTATATAAAGATTTACTACAAAGACAGTGGTCAATTCTTATATTTTTTTCCAAATGAGTATACCAGAAAACAAAGTACTGTTTGCATATACTCCAAATTAGACATTCATTCATGCTATGTGATTTCACTTTGTTTTTTTTCCTCCATCCATTTAACATTACACTGCAGCCTGGTTGAGTTTACAAAAAAATAAGCTAATGATACTTAAGACCTTTTGTCGAAAAAAATAAGACTTGGACAAAATAATTTAAGGCCTTAATTTAGGAACATGAGATTTAAAACTTTTAAGACACTCCAGTGTATGGTCCTGGTCAAATGAACTAATTAAACTAACCTAAACAAAAACTT